CGCGATGGTTTTAGTGTATATGCATATACATACGTACATCTCCCTACACATGTACACAAAACATTTGATACGTATATGTACATGATATGTAGATGTGTGCACATACACACATATATATGTGTATATATGCACATACATATATATACATGTATATATATATACACATATTGAGGGAGGGAAAGAGAGAGAGAGAGAGAGAGAGAGAGAGAGAGAGAAAAAGAGAAAGAGAGAGAGAGAGAGAGAGAGAAGGAGAGAGAGAGAGAGAGAGAGAGAGAAAGAGATAGAGAAAGAAAAAAGAGATATAATTACAGAGAGAGAGAGAGAGAGAGAGAGAGGGGGGATAGAGAAAGGGATCGTACGAATCCTGAGGAAGTCACTGCAGGAAGCCTCGCCTGGGGGCTATCTCCGCAGAGGTTCGGGGTCATCTAGAAGGCCCACGTGGAGGCCTTGGGCAGGCTCGTCGTCGTCCCGCTCCTCGAACTCATCCTCAACCGTACAGGTTGTCGCACCAATCGTGCTTGGCGCCGCTGTCCTCCGCAGCCGTTTAGGCTCCAACAACACGTCTGGCGCCCGTCGAGGCCCGCCCCGCCGCCTCCAAGCACGAGCCTCAGGGGGCAACGCTGGGGGATAGGCTCGGGGAATCACTGCTTACCGGGCCACCCCCACCCAGCCCGAGGGCCCTGGACCACCCCGAAGTTCGGGTTGGGGGGTGTACGGGGTCCATCGTGTTGCCTCTATGTCCCGGAGTGCCCCCCCCCCACCAGAACTCGATAACGGTGACTTCGGGTTGGATCGGGACGGCTTGGTAGGTAGTCATGGGAGAACGCATTGACCCCCAATCGCCCGTTCATCGCCGATGGGGGTCTGATAGCCCCACCCCGCCGGGGAACGCGCGGATCCGCTCTCGGTGGCTTATCGCCGATTTATCGTTGGTGTATCGCCGAATCCAGGTCGATGCTTCCCCCCCCCGAGCTGGTCTCCCTGGTCGGATCATAGCTCGGCTCTCTGGCGGCCGTTCGGGACGATCCAGGCACCCCCAGAACGCTATCGGCAAGGCGCAGCAGCTGGAAAACATCACCGCCGAGAAGTGACGAAAACGTACGAAAACCTCGAGCCTCGAACCTCGAGCTCAGAGCTGGGTCGCTGGGCCCCTCAGAGCTGGGCCGCCCCGAACGTTGCCCCTCAGATCGAGGGAGAGAAAACGGCATGAACATACATGTCAGCCAGCGTTGATTCCAAATCGATAGGAGGACAGGAGGAGGACGAGAGGAGGATGGGAGGAGGACGAAATGAGGACGGGAGCATGACGAGAGGAGGATGGGAGAAGCAAAATCAAGCAAGTTCAAGCAAGCAAGCGGAAGCAAGCAAACGCAAGTGAGCAATAACAAGCAAGCAAGAGCAAGGGCAAGCAAGAGCAAGCAAGTAAGAGCAAGCAAGCAAGCAAGCAAGAGCAAGCAAGCGAGAGCCAGTGATCAAGCGCAAGCAAGCAAGAGCAAACCCAGGACTCGCCATTTGGAATAGCTGGGGGGTGCTGCCATTGGAAATGAGGGGGGGGGGCCATTGAAGAAAGGGGCGGGGAGGGGGGTGCCATTGGAAAAAGGCGGGGGCTCCTAAAACCAATTACGCATAGTGAGCTAGCACTCCTATAGGGAAGCCTATTTGGAGAACTTTCGGAACTCCGCGAGCATTTCTTGAATCTGTGTTGGATCCCCCTCTGGCGGCGTCTCCGGCGCCGCCCCGGGCGCGTCTGCGCGCCAGGGAAAAGGGTCCAGCGCCGATCCAAGAAATTCTTGACGCTTGGGTACGGATGGGCCTCGCGCCACGGCGATCCTGGAGCAGCGTGGTCCCACTGTCGCTTCTGGATCCGCTTGCTCGTCTTCCCGCCCGGCACCTACACCGTGGTTTTGGTGCTGCTCCCCCCCTTCCGCGCCTTTTTGGCGGCGCTGAGATCCGCCTCGCCCGGGCGTGCTCGCTGCCCTGTTTTTTCTTTCGCAGGTGGCATAGCCTGCCCCTGCCTGCCCGGCGTCCGACTCGCATCGTGCGCCTGCGTGCCAAAAGTATCCCCACCAGAGCCTGCCCAAGCTTTGCCCGGCTTTCGACTTGCTTCGCGAGCCCGCGGACACCCCCCCAAATATCCCCACACGCCCATCCAGAAACGGCGCCCAGGTGAGTTGAGGTGCTCAGGGAAGTGTTCGGAGCAAAGACGTGGACAGCCGAACCGTTCGAAGGAGGAGGAGAAGGAGGATGGATGGATGGATGGACGGACGGACGGACGGACGGACGGACGGACGGATGGATGGACGGATGGATGGGGGAGGATGGAGAAGGATGATGAATAGGAGGAGGAGGAGGAGGAGGAGGAGAGGAGGAGGAGGGAGGAGGAGGAGGAGGAGGAGGAGGAGGAGGAGGAGGAGAGAGAGGGGAGGAGGAGGAGGAGGAGGAGGAGGAGGAGGAGGAGGAAAGAGGAGGAAAGAGGAGGAAAGAGGAGGAGGGCGAGCAAAAGGGCCAGGGACCTCTTAGACGCCTTCCGGAGTCTCTTGGGATATCTCTTGGACGCCTCGGCCTCTTGGGACGTCTTGGGGCTCTTCGGCGGTCCAGGGGACTCTTGGGAGTCTTGGGCGCCTCGGGGGGGCCTCTTGGGGCTGCTTGGGGTCCTCTTGGGGGCCTCTTAGGGACCCTCTTGGGGCCATCTTTGGGCCTCTTGGGGCCTCTGGGCCCTTCTTTGCGCCATCATGGAAGACATCGATCAAAAAAGGGGGGTACTTAATTAACGTCGCCCGTCTAGAGCGCCTAAAATCGCCTCTTGGGGCGGCAAATTCCGAACCCTACCCTCGCCGATCAACGATTCAAGCAACTCGGTGGGTGGCGGGGGTAGGATTCAGAATTCGTCGAACACGTGGCGAACTCCGAGCCCTACCCCCGCCTCCCATCGGTTCTGGAGAATCGATGAGTGGTCGGGGCAGGGTTCGGATGTCGGCGCCTGAGCGAAAAACCGCGAAACGCACGACCTGTTGGAGGTCCGAACGAGTTCCTTGGGTCGGCGCCTGGGTCCCTTTGCTCCGCGCGCCTGGGAGGGGGGGCCCAGCGCCGATCCAAGAAGTCCGCGCGGAACTCCGAAAGTTTACGTTTCTGCCGTTCTTGTTCTTCCAGGGAGGCCCCGCAGTCTTCCGAGAAGGCTGGCCCCGTCCCGCGTTCCTCCGCAGACGAAGACAAGTTGCATCAACAAAGGAGCTTTACACCGTTGCGATGGTGGCCACGACGGGAGGTGACGGTGGGCACGGCTCGAGCTAAGCAGTGTTTTGGCGATTTCGTGGGCCGTTTTCGATTTGATCTCATCTCGCTTCGCAGCAGATGCAGAACGAAGACAAAACGAAGGGCAACGAACAAAAAAAGGAAGGTGGAAAACATTGTTTCGCTCGAGCCCCGACGGAGAGGGGGAGAAGAGGGAGGGAGGGAGGGAGAGGGGCGTGGGCAGGGAGAGGGGGGGGAGGCAGGGGAGGGACGGAGGGACGGAGGGACGGAGCGACGGAGCGACGGGGCGGGGGGCCACAATCGGAGCCGCGGGGCCGAGAAGCAGCCGCGCCGGCATGGCACGCGGCGGCCTCCCGCGCCCGGCGGCCGACGCCCGCGCGGGCGGCCTGCCGCCTGGGGCGCCGCAGCAGCTGGGCCAGGGCGGTGCTCGGCGAATCGGACGTCGCGTGCAGTCGGCCCTGGTTTTAAGTCGGGCGTGTTTCCCTCTACAGGGGGCAGAATTTTGTCACGATAGCAAAAAGAAGAGTCTGGGGACGGTTTTTCGACTCTTTTTGAATATTTTGGGGGTATTTTTTGAGTGTTTTTGATTTTTCGCCCAAAATTCCGCTGTAGGGAGACATGCCCGACTTAACCCTGCTTATCGGAGGTCGACACTGCCACAGGACGGGCACCCTTTGTGTCCCGTGTCTCGCGACCCATGCCTCCTACATTCCTAATGCAATGTGGCCCTCGGAAGGATTTTGTGTCCTCTCGCGTGTCCTGTCCAATCAGGTCCGACTGTAATGGGAGGCGATACATGGGGGCAGCGAGGGCTGCTGAAGAGGGGCCCTTCAGGGCCCCGGCCCCTAAATGGGCCGCCCTTTCGGGCCCGAGCGGGGCCTCTGTAGGGCCCGAAGACTGTGGGAGGGTCTTCGGGTCCTCTTGGGTTTTTTTTGGAGGGTCTTGAGGCCCTCTTGGAGCCATCTCGGGAGTATCTTTGATTCCTGTTGACTCGTGAAAGATTTAGACATCTCGGGAGGGTCCTTTGGGGGCTTCGAGGGCACTTGGAACGGTGTAAAGGGACCGCCTGACACATCGCGAAACCCCGCAACAAAAAACTCAGGGAGGGGATGGGGAGGGTACCCCTTTGCAACGAGAAGAGGGGTTTTGAAAGAATAAAGAAATATATCGTTAGACCACCCACACCCAGAGGTCGGGTGGGATTTTTACACAACGTCGGACCTCAGGGGAGGTCCTCGCGGGTTTCTTGAGTCGGCGCTGGGCCGGGATGGGCTCAGGAGGGGATGATGTATCGATTTCTGATTGCCCATTGATCATTGGTAGTTGCCGATAGCTTCTGGCCGGCAACGTGGATTTCGCCATCGATGGCCTCTCGTCGATGTCTCCTCCCCCGAGCTGGCTCCACCCTAACGTTGCCCCCCCCTTTCTCCCCTGGCGGCGCTTCCAGCGCCGCCCCTGACGTGCTCTTTTCTCATTCCAGAGGGGGTCACCAGCGCTGATCCAAGAAATCTGCGCGGACCTCCGAATGCGTGCAAAATTTTTATCCATATCCACGGCGTCTTGGAACCTTGTGGAAGGGATGCCGGAAAACCTCAGACGCACTGGATATGAACACGATTGTGGCCTCGATGCAGTTCACCCATTTCCTCTGTGTCTCGGGCTTCTCGGGAAGGGAGCACGGAACTCCGAGACACAATGGATAAGAACATACAGCCTTCTCGCAACGACAGTTTATGTGAATGCCGCTTTCTGTTGCAGCAGGCTGTCGACATCCGATGTCTCTGTCTCTCCTCTCGGGGTCACCAGAAGTCCCCGGCGAGGGCCCCCGCAGATCGACGACGGGCGAGAGCCTCCCGCCGTGCTCTCGTCACGGCGCGAGCACGTCTGGGGCCTTTCTCTGTGCCTCCAGGTTCGGCAGGCGGCCACGCACCGGGCGCCGAGACGGGCAGCCGCGCGGCGGGCGCCGGGGCGGCCCCTCCGAGGGCACCCCGCCTGCGGCCGGCCGCCCCCCCATCGTGGGAGCTCCACCCCCTCCAGCTGCCCGAGGCCGCACTGGCAGAGGAGCTCGTGGCCGAGGGCACGCGCTTCCAGCGGGCGACGACGCGGAAGTTGTCTGGCTCCCAGAGGAGGAGGAGGGGCCAGTGCCGCCCCCCTTGCTTCGTTCTCGCCTTCTGGGGCTTCCTGGGAGGCCCTCGTCGCCACGGCCGGATTTGCCCCGAAGTCCGGGTCAGAACGCAACCCGGGAGGGGCGTGTAGTCAAGGCGCTGGAACAAGGCCCGCTTTGGGTTCGGAAGGGGCTCGCTGTTCCTCAAGTCATTCCGCGGTTGTTCCTCTAGCCCTCTTGATTTGTACCCAGGCTCTTTCGGTGCCGAGAAGGGGCTTTGCTCCTTGCTCAGCCTTCCTTCTTTCCTTGTTCTAGCAGCCCGACTGTAGCGGCACGGGTGCCTCTTGGCCCCCTCCAGGCTCGACGACCTCTACGGACGCCTGCAGCGCGGACCTCCTCAGCAACGACGGCGACGCGGGGCCGAGCGCGGGCCCGCTCGGGCCCGGGAGGGACCTCCTCGGCGTCGCGGCGTCCCTCGGGTGGCCCGGGAGCCCGCGCGGGGCGGGGGAGGTGCGCGGGGCGGGCCCGCGCGCCCCCCGCGCGTGAAGCGGGGCCAGGCAGAGGCCCACGGGTTATAGCGCGCGCCCGGCCCACCACGGCCGCGCGCTCCGCGCCGCGACGTGCCGGCGCGCCGCGGGGTTCGGCCAGGGGCCACCGCCGGGCCGGGTCAGAGGTACAGTCCGACCTCCTGGCGGTTTCCTCGGAGGGGGAAAGGGCGGCATCAACATGAGCTTTCGGAGGTCCGCGCGTGTTTCTTTGGATCGGCGCTGGACTCCCCTGGCGAGGGGGGGTTCCAGCGCGGATCCAAGAAACCCGCGCGGACCTCCGAAAGTTTAGGTCTCTGTTGTTTTTTTTGTTCCTCTTGTTTAGTCCGACTGCCAGGCTGGGTCAGGGGTACAGTTCGACTGACAGGCCGGGTCAGGGGTACAGCACTCTTGGGCTGCCGCTGTCTTTCGACGCGGTGAATTCCCTCGACGTCCGTCGCTCGCTTTGCTTTGTCTCTCTCTCTCTCTCTCTCTTTCTCGCTTTTTTTGAGTCGCGGCGCACTCAGTTCAGTTCGCGTGTCCTGAGTTGCCCTAGGGGTGTACTTGCTTGATGGCTGCTTGAGCGAGGGGCAGG